CACACACACACACACACACACACACACACACACACACACACACACACACACAGTTTTAATGAGGAGCCGCAGCTTGAATCGCGGTCCGCTCGTGTCACGCAGCCTACCTGTGAGCGCTCCCGCTCCTTCCGCACCTCCTCCTGCGCCTCCTGCTGCTCCTCTACGCTGCGCAGCGCCGCTGAGCTTCACGACGAGGAGGAAACATGCCGTCAGCATCGCACTGCAGAAACACGCAGCTCGCACGCGCGCACTCCGAGCGCAGGTGATCATCTGAGGTAGATGGTTTCGGGAGGAAAGCCCCGGATCGGGGGCGGCATCGCGCTGAGGGCGAGCCGGGAAGCGGCGGCAGCGGCGGCGGCGGCGGCGGCGACTTTGGTTCGGAGTCTGCTGGCTGGGAGCGCGCACGGATGAACTGCTTTCTCCGTGCCCGCGCGCGCCCCTTCGGGGTTGCAGAATGGGTCCTCCTGGGGTCTCCCCCCACCCACCCTCGGACCTTCTTCAGTCGGATCTAGGCTGCTGCAGTGAGGGTGCTGCTCATCAGCTGGAGGAGGCGCAGTGGTTGTGTGGAGTTAGGTAATGCTTGAATTACATAAGCCTGCACTCTGTGGGTGGGTGGTGACAGTGAGAGGAGTGAAAACTGCTCTTCAAATCCTCCTGCAGCAAGTTGTTTTCTTGTTTTTCACCAAAACACAGAATGGGGAGTTTTGTGTTGCTTCTAGGATGAAAGTGGGCTTTCCTTCATTAGTTTCTGCAAAAATCCATTAAACTTTTATTGTGTCAAGTCAGCAGAATAAATGGCTTTGTATATAGGCTATACCTTTCAGTTTATTAAAAAGGGGGTAATTGTGTGTTTTCCAGCCACATCGTTCAATTATATACCGCAATCAAAGTGTCACCGTTAATAAYTGGCCTTTGTCTCTTTAAGAACCTCCTACCATTTCCAACACTCCCACTTCATATAATTATTTCAGGGGAGGGGTGTGGCTGGGGGAATTTTGTAGGCGGTGCTTTGTACCAGCAAATGTTCACACATGGCACAGGACATTCAAGGTTTTCTCAACACGAGTCAAAGCAACACTCTTGGTTTTCATGAAGGAAATAACATTGTAACAAAAAATTATTTTGCATAATAACCTCCCCAAACCTGTTTTTACACAGGTTCCCATTTTCCTGGTGCTGTCATGTTGTGCTTTTTGGAACCAGAGACTGCAAAAAGATGAACAAATTGACTGCATTGACTTCTACTGTCCAAAACTGAAACAAAAATGTTAGTTTATGAGGGAGCTGCCTTGTTTTTTGTTTGTTTGTTTGTTTGTTTGTTTGTTTGAATGTTTGTTTGTTTGTTTGTTTTAAGCCAGGGCCTGCACACTCAGAATTTAGCACTAGAAATGTGAAGTTCACAAAGAGCCGAACTTTTCTTACGGCTCTTTAAAGTGAACAATGACAGCTGAGATGCAGACAGTTGAGAGTCATTCTATTGTTTTTTTTTTTCCACACCTTAGGTTCTCCTCCTCAGATGCAGATGGCTCCTCCTTTGCTTTTCCACTGAGATGAAGAAGACCAGGTAAAAGGRAGAAGTGCAGCAACTGAGGTACCACTGTTTGTCTTATGCCACAACTTGACTACGGTATGTAGTGATGTATGGTGGAGCTATACATCGCTGTACAGTGTGCCACATGACTAACTGAACAAAACCGAACTGTTCTTTGAAAGAAACCCTTCAAAGAGCCATGCAGTATATTTTAGTCAAAAGGCTACATTMTCTGAAWCCTTGTTTCTCATATTTACATCTAATTTCTTTGATGCTTGTTTCAGGAGTTGTAAGAAACCCAACTGTCCATCTTTTTCTTATGGTTTGTATTTTGAGATTTTGGATATACAAAAACCCTCAAATAAGTACCCAGATTAACCATATGTAGCACAAATGGCAGAAAAAAATAGACTTGTTTTATTCTGAAATTCTTACATTTCCTTTGCAGGTATCCTTTTGAGCATTTTCTTCTGACTCACACATTAAACTAACCCTGGTGATTAAAAAAACAACACAGAAACAAAAGACTCCATTGTAGGAGTCTATTAATATAATGATAGTTACAGGCATGGTGATGGGTGGAGCTTATTGAATGAGATAAWAATAATAATTAAGATAAAGCTTAACACTAAAAATGTACTTCAAAACAAAACAAACAATAAATAGGATGTCTCCTTTCAGAAAGTGTGAACCAAAGTGTCCTGGACTAAAACCAATTCCTGGGCCTAAAAATGTAGTAGCACCAAACATGAATAATACAAAGCACTAACCTTAGTATTCATGAGTTTACTTTGTTTGAACGTAGGCAACAAGGCCTCAAAGGTTTGGAGTGTTTGAACAGTGGATTAACTGAACTTTGCATTTTACTCAGGTGTGYGCAGCTCATTTGTTTGCTTCCCACCCTTCCTAAAGGAATTTTTACAAAAGCACAAAGGTCGTTCGGGCAAACGTCTTTCAGGATATTTGTTTTCCTTCTACATTGGGTCCTCCACACGATCCAGTCCTTGGGATTTTTTTTTAAAAGGTGTCTGTGAAAAGCTTATAAAACAAAAACATTTGCCATTTTTAAGATATTTTCATAATTTAAGCAGTAACAAATGACTCTGAAGACCTAAAATTACTTTTTAAAAAGGTAGTTCATGCAAATAATGCTTTACAAATTTTTGTACTTCCATCAGTTTCACATGGCACAACCAGCCCAGCAAAAATATTATTCCTTTAGGAAGTGCCCCAGGCTGCATGGKAAGTGYTACAGTTAGCTGCTCCTGGAGTTGTTTGTATTCATGATTAGACCTAAAATGGCGTGCAAATTACCATGCATTACAAAACTGATAGTGATGTAAGTATAAAATAGAATTTATACAAACCACATTTAAAACAGAAGTTGTTTAAAAATGCCTGCAAACCACTTTGGTCTTGTAGGCTAGCTTGAACTAGCCATTAGCCTCTCACTTTGGTCAGATTTAGCCTCTATTTCCCAAAACTGAAGGTATTCAAACGGTTATTTACAATAAGCAAAATAGTAATTGTTCATAACCTTTTCACRGAGCCTCACTTCAAAAGAACCTCTGAATAGAAAATACAAAAGTGGGTCAAATAATTCATAAAATTAGAATGAGTTTGTCAGATATCAAATTCAACTTTGTACCTTTTTTTGTTTTGAAAGAATAGGGGAATTCTAAAGTATGTACTCACGTGAAGTGTTTTAGAAATAAAGCTATATAAAAAACTGATTAAGCAGTTATTACCTTTACACCTCCTACTTTCTGACCAACACTTGCCCCCCTGTGTTCAGTGTACAAACTACAACACAAACCCCCCGGCCTGGAGACAAAAACACCAGAAAAATTCAACCTCTTTTGATTTTTTTTTTATTATATCAAAATACAAAAATTTGTGAGGAAAATTTTGTATAGGACTAAGCTTTTGAAATGATATGGTGACATGAGTACAACACTGCTTTCATTTTCTCACAGACATACCATAGATAGAGCATAGATCATGTGCTAGGCCCATGTCTACGTCATGATGAGCCACCAGGAGTGAGCCTGTGCATTTTCCTTATAAAGGCTTGGTGATGGCGACTGCTGCTGTACATCCAGGCCAGTTTGGGTAACAGGCCCGAGTGTGTTTTTGCACCATAGTTCATTCGGGTTTCTGCTTCCTCAAAAAAGAAATTAAAAAAGAAAAGAAAAAAAAAGAARAGAAAGAAATGAGATCCATGGCAGTTGAGCATGATGAGTGATTAAGACATGATCTCAGACAATACAGAGTTCACTGGACAGCAGTGGCAAACAAGAGAAAAGTAATACAAATATTCTACATAAGGCTTTGGTACAGCACCATACAGTATGAGTTAATTGCTTACAAAAAGTTAAGTGAAGCATAAATACCTGATGCAGTGACAGAACAGAATGACAAATTTACAAAAAAATAAAATCAAAAGTTGAGGAAAAATTTTAAAAAATCAGGTTATCGTTTTAAAAAAGTGGGAAAAAAAGGATTTTGAAGTATTTACATATGAACATCATGAGGACAAAGTATGAAAAAAAGACATGTACAGTACAGAATGTAAACATGAGATGTACAGCACAGAGTTCAGTGGATGAATGTGAAATGGAAAGTGAGAAATTTTCTTCCTTTCAGCACTGTTTGCTTGAGTATGAGCATTAGCTAAAACAGTCAACGATGTAGTGCTTATTGTAGCCTACGGTAATTATACATTCTAGTTTCTCAGTGCTGGTACACATGAAGAAAAATAAATAAATAAAAAAAGAGAATATTGAAATTACTACATACTTCTAGCTTCTGTCCAATAACAACCAGCTCAGATGGTCATGAATGACTGCTAAATAGGCGTTTTTGTATTGTCTCTACATGCAAGAATAATACAATATGAAATCAAATCTGTTCTAATAATCATCCAACCAGCAACTAGTGATGCACTAAAAGCTGTAAGCGAAAAGAATCGAATAAAAACCCAAAGAAACAGAACTAAAAAAATGTAGCTAACAGTACGTTCCAAAGCAGCCCTCTTAAACACTGTACATGTTTCTGTTGAAGTTGTGAGGAAAAAGCCCGGAAGACAACATCTATTTGTAAAAACCGTGTGTGTGTGTGTGTGTGTGTGTGGGGGAGGGGAGAGAGAGGGGGTGAGCCTTCCCAGTGCTTTCTAACAGGAAAATAAATGCAAATGTGGACCACTCATGGCTATTCTGTACAGTACTAATCAGATTTCCTTTTCGTTGTTCAAAAAAGGTGGTGGGGTGACGACGTGAGACGGTTTCGTCCCTGCGGTAGTGTGCTTGAAGAACAGTGCCGTTAACCAAAGAGATTACAGGAAGAAGTGTGTAGAAAAGACCAAACCTGACCCAATAATGCTTTCAGATTCTCTCCAATGTGTCCTGTGGTGAGTACTAATCTAAGTCAGACTATAGTTCTTCCTTTTAGGCTGGGTTAGTATTTTCGATATCATCACAAGTACATTTTAGAGAGGGTACCTTGGAAGCACAGACAGACATTGCAAACACACTATAAAAAACAGGTCATTTTGAGTTCATTGAATGTCACAAGTCTCTAATAATTGAGGTTATATGTCTACTTTCCAGTACGGTCTATCACGGTTGTCACACTGTTAAGATTAGTACAAAGTCTTGTGGAAACGGGGAAAATAAAAATAAAAATTGACCTCTATTCTACAGCACCACAAAGTTAAACATAGCACCAAGTCCTAATGTTCAAAAGCATCTATGCCCTAACACACTGTATTTCATCAAACTAATGTAAACACAATTTCCTCCACAGCACGTTTTGTACATGTCTACAGCATGTCTGTTAACTTTTAGGAAAAACTGTTTTCCTTCTGTTTATTTGCTTTGGACACGTGAAGCAAAGAGATCGGACGTGATTCTATATGTGTGCTCATGAGCGGGTAAAAATACATTATTACTTTTTGTTTGAGAAATATAATAATAAGAGGGCAACACATTTCTGCTTCTAAAGCTTTCCCCAATGGGCATCCACATACTATACATCAGAGAAAATACTACTCAACTTGTGCAGCCAGCGGGCTATGGCAATAATACACTGTACGGTACTAACATTGAGTTTTCTTTTTTTTTTTTCTTCTTCAGATAAAATAATATCTGCTAAAGTATGACAAATTAGGCACCTTAAAATGTTTTTAAAACATCCACTTAAAGCCGTACTGTAAGCAAATACTTTGATATATAATCTAATTTCTTTTTACTTTGGGATACTTCCCATTTTTTTTTTGTGTGTTTTTATTTTCATACATCCTCAAGAAGGTCTTTCTGTAAAACATGGTTTGATTTATCTTTGCAAATACAATACACACCATGTACATTACATAACAAATATAGATTATTTCCCCTATATCTTACATGTAACCAATTTGTTAAAGTAGAATATGCACTTTGWTGCTCACTTTCAAGCAATCACCACTTCCTTATTGGTCAAAAGGTTTTAGAGTCATTCGTGTGGATAGCGCAAGACCTTTGATTTAGCGCCAAACTTCGGATTTGTTTGTAAAAAGAAAAAGTTGTGATCTGTTGGMTGTGTCTGAGTGACTGAACTGGCCAAAGAAAAACAAAATAAAACATAGTTTTAGCGTAGCCATCGAAGCAAAGGGAATTTGGCTCAGAACCTGTGACGGGACTGCATTCAGGAATTTAGACCTCTTGTGCCAAACGGGTCATCTCACCAATAACAGCTGCACTACAAGCATTATAATGGGTCATTCAATGCACTGTGACATTGGGACATTCATTTCCTGTACAGCAAAACATACATTCAATATCGGTTAGTGTCTAAAATTAATAAACATACAGCGAAGTAGCTAGCAAGTAATATACATTTGTAAAAGATAAACAGTCAGGGTGGCCGTTTCTTTGAGCGTTTTCCGTTGCTCGTTAACAGTGAAGCAATCGCCTTCTCCCCTTACGGCTGCTGTTCAACATCAACATCCACACTGCACCACTGGGTTCTTTTTGCATGTACAGTGCTTTTGGCTTCTTGCCTTTTCTAACACCCATTTCCTTTTGTTTCGGGTACTTTTTTTTGTTACACAGTTGAATCAGTTACAGGAATGTAAAAAAAAAAAGAAGAACAAAACGTAGAAACTAAACGCAAGAGTAATGCATTCTCTGTGGCATGTTCTTTCATGTGTCCTTGGCAGAGAAAGTAAAAGCACACATAATATTGTAGTTTCTTGCTCTTCTATTGTGACAAATATGAAAAAGGCAAAGGAAAAAGGCAGTTTATGTCAGAAAAATCAACAAAGGCAAAAAAAAGGCACATTGAGATGTGCCCCACCGTTTTTTACAAATAATTCTTTAAGAATGAAATACATACGTATAGACACTTCACAATTTTGTCACGCTGCCCTTTAGTCCAGCCTCTGTAAAAGCATAAAAGTCCAAAATTCGTTGGAGATCTCACGAAGGCTATGAGCGCGGTCTTAATGCTGCGCCGCAGAGCCACACTGAGCCGTCGAAGCACTGCCGTTAAGACACTCTCCTCTAATGGTTGGCATCGAATCACGAACCAAACTAATAAGCCAGCTATTATCAATTAAACGAAAGCTTCCAAATAAGATTAAGTTTAGGCCATATTATCCGTTTGAATGAGTAGTGAGCATTATAAACCTTTTTATTCATACCTTTCATGTGTAAAAAGGTCAAGTACARTATACCACAAGAATTACAGCAACTCTGCGTTTACTCTGAGGTATATTTTGTGGTAAGAACCCTGTGTTTTTTAAATACTGACACTATTTGTATTGTAGGAAAGGTAGACTCATGTCCCTGTAGAAGGACGCACCAGGCTTAACAGTTCACTGAAAAACCTAAAGATATGAACCCCTCAATGATAAGTGAGTGAAAAATCTTTAACGTGTTGTGACATACTCAACCAACACATTTTATTACTGTAAGAGGAAGCTTATTTCCCTTGTTTTTACTATTTATGTACATTATATATTTTCAGAGCATTTTTCAAGTGAAATTTTCCCCCAGGAAAAAGGAAAAAATAAAATAAAATAAGCTTGAAGCCATTGTTCTTGTCTTCAGATGAGATTTCCAGCCCCGGAGGATTCAGCACGATGTTTCCTGCTCCATTAATATAAATCAAACTTTTAGAGATTATAAGAAACATATTTGTTACTATAGTGGAGCAGGGAGGGCTGAGGTGTTTTCCTTTGTTTTTGTTCTTTTGTTTTTTGTTTTTTTTTCAGGAAGGGGCCTGTTTAGTCGAGTCCAATGGCTTGATGGGCAGGCAGGTCAGCGTAGAGTTCCATAATTTGGGCCCTCAGAGTCTGCACTGGCCAGAATGCCTGTCTGGTCCTCCTCAGACTGCCTGCGATGCAGGAAGGAGGTCAAATAGCGGTAAGGGTTCTTTTTGTTTTGCTTTTTACTCTTTCGATGGAGGTCGAGCTCTTCTCCCTCTTGRGGTGTCTGGGATTGCTGCTGGGTCTGAGAGGGAGACGCATCTACAAGACAGGAGAGGGGCATGTGTTAAAATAAACRTCAAGCTTTTAAATCCTTCTTTTTCACATTTTAAATTGTTCATTTGGGGTCTATATAAAGTGGAACCCCAAGGCTTTTTGTCTGATTTCCTCCTCATCATAACTCCACAAGCCTCTCTTTCACCCCTTTTCTGAGGCGTGACTCAGATCAACTTGTTTTGATGTCGTTTCTTTAAAGGGATCCGTGATTAGTTGTGACATTAGACTTTATTTAATAAACATATATTTTAACTGTAAAATAAAGATACTGAAAAAAAATACTGTAGGATGTTTAGTTTTTATAATTTTTAAACTAAAAGTTTAAAAATATATTACATGGATGGGGCCATTTTATTTACATGCAAAGCATTCTGGGTAAATGATGACGTGGATAGGTCCTCGGTGCGAGGCTGCTAGCGAGCTATATCCACCCTGAAGGTTAATCTTGGACAATATCTGACGATCGACTCTTTTAAATGAAACCWGAGAGCGTTGACAGAGAGGAGAAGGTAGAAATGACTCAGCCTGGAACTGAAAATATRGATGGAGGACAACAGAGCTGCTTCATGGAAGAACAACCTCACATTAGCCTGTTAGCTTTAGCACAAGCACTGACGCTATATTGCCTTATATGTATTAGCTCAGCGCTACACATTCTCCTCTCATCACTGAGGTCCTCCATCCACATGGCAGAGAGGGGAATGCAAAAAATGACTCAGTCTGCAACTGAAAATATGGATGGAGGACCTCAGTTTAGCTTGTTAGTTTGTCGACGAACACAGGTAAAAAACCACGTCTGTAGCTCCAATACTAACAGCTTTTCATTTCAGTCCTTTTTGGATTAAACACCGTTGTCACCTGCCCAGGTAAGCTGAAAAACAAATCACGTTGTTTTGTTTACATCGTTGTTTGGTCTATGTGTTAAGATTTGTAACTTATTATGTGTGTGTGTATGTGTGAGCGACTGAAATAAACTTACCAGCTGAAATGTTGTCTCTGTAATCACTCCGATTCTTTAGAAAACGTACTTTCTGGTCCGACAGTAAGGTTCATATGTCTCGTAAGATGCAATTTTCCAAAACTGATACTGTACAATCTTGCTGCTTTTTAAATTATCATTACAACAAAGCATGCTACGACGCTCCAGGTAGTAAACAGCAGAGAGAAGCGGCTATGATGACGTGCTGAAATGGGCGTGACGGGATTGGAAGGAGGTTCTTACAGCGACAGAGATCAATTTCAAGGTGTTTAGAAACTGATACGATGAGAAGTCAACTGAAGGTGACATCGTTACTTTATTGTGGTACAGAATTTCAATATATGCCTGGGAAACACATAATATTGCCCCTTTAAAGAGGACATATGTAAAATCCACTTTTTTTTAGCCCTTAAATGCATTTTGATGTGTACTTGGAGCATCTAGGAGYGCAGAAAAGTTGAATTTAGTCTAAAATACCTTTATATTCTCTTTGGGTTATATTTTTTGACCTGTTCTTTTTTTTCTATTTTCTGAATGGGTTGAAAACAAAATATAAAGATATCTACATTGCACTGGCAGAGACTAAATTCAACTTTTCTGAACGCCTAGAAACTCCAGGTACACAACATARTGCATGCAATGACAAGGAAAAAAAAGTGGATTTTGCACGACATGTCCCCTTTAACACACAGCTTCTAACATCAGCCTCTCTGTGCTTCCCCCAGCCTTCAGACCCACCTGTTCTCTTTGCGGATGTCGTGTTGTTATTGTTGTTGGCAGCCGCTCCCTTTGCTTTAGTTATACAGTGATGTAGCAGTGCTGGTAAGCTCTCAGACCCGGCAGTGTCACTAGACGCACCTAGAGGTTCCCTGGGAGGACGAGAGGCAGCACAGACACGCACATTGTTCTGCGTTAATTCGGCGGCTCGTGCTCGGTCACGTCTCAGAGAAAAAGACAAAACGGCGCTTTCATCACTATTTCCAGCAGCTGCTATATGAGTTTGATGAGCTGTTGAGCGTCTACTACGAGCTGCTTGACTAAGATGATGAMATTTCGCTTTCTATTTGCTTTGATGGATGAGAACATTTTACAAAGAGAAAGAAAGAAAGAGAAAGAGTAGCTGGCAGAAGGTGTCAGTGGAATTGGTGGAACTGTTATTGCTCTTAAACAGTCACTACATTAAAGACCAAGCTCAACATTTAGATGCAAAACAAATTTCAAAATCCCATTTTCTAAATATTTACTAAACTCTTGTTATATAATATCATTAGTTTTTGCACTAAAAGCAGTAAGAGCCACAGGTTTAGACAGTAACAGCGCTTACTGCACTCGGGTTTAATCTTTAAATAGTGACTGCTTTAGAAATGTTGGCAATATTGATCTTTTCGCTGTATAAGACTCATAAAATGAAAATAATTTCTGGTTTTACAAAATGATTATTCCTGTAAGGATGAGGATTAATTGCCAATTCTCTTGAAATTCTCCATGACAACAAGGATTGATGTGCTGTGTGTTGGGGGTTGGCAGCCTTTGACACATGCGCCTCCATAATTACACCAACAACTAAATCACATTATTGATAAGAGCTTTACCAACATGCTGACACTACAGACTTCATAACAAATGCATCATAATGAGTGACTTTTATAATCTAGATTTTAAAAATTGTTGTTTTTTTTTTCTTTCAGGATGTGGTTTGTTGATGTCAGCAGTTTTATTGATTATATGAAACTTCTACAGAAAATGACATAAATCTTAAAAATCAATCACTTTACATTGTAATGAATCTCATCACACTACAGGTGTTTTATCCCTACACTAAATGCTTAAATTRAACTTAATCATTATTTTGTTTTCTTGCCCATGAAATGAAGTAAACTGAATAAAATTCATATACATTATACCTAATCTTACTATTTTACTGAGATACGTAAAATGGCAACAACTTATCTAACATTATGGGGCCTAATGTATTGAAACTTGCTTTCTTTGTGGGCACATAAAGACAATAATTATTATTTTTTTACTTAATGTTTTGCAGATGAGTGAACTGCATAATATTTCCAACATTTTGACACAAGTAGTTGTGTTTTCACAGCCATCTGGGGCAAGATTTCAATCCTGATGGTTGTGATTTTTTCATGTCATTTTGAACCATTATACATATGTCTCCACAATCAAATATTTTTAGTTTGTTTTCCGATATCTTTGTAAAAGCAGGCTTGATGCATTTATTAATTTAGAAATTGTCTTCCATAAAAACAAAAAGGGGGGATATATGGATTCATGAAAAATGTTTTTTACGATTAAATCTCATGTTATTTTCATTTCTTTAGCCTTAAAAATGTATAAAATGTTTTTATCTGACTAGAATTGGTTTAAAGAAAAAAACTAAAAAAAATACAATTGTACTGATGTAAACTATTACTTGTATTCACCAAATCTACCATTAAAATATTATGAGTAAATCAGATTTATGCACTCTAAATTGCACTTTTTGTGCTAATTTGTCCAACAACTGTAAATACTTCACAGATAAAAAAAATACAATCCACTTTTATATCTATAATTRTTTTAAACGAGGTCACCAATGTCTAATTTTAGCAAATGTTTCGAAGYAATTGGAAAAGAATGCCAAACCCTTCAAAAGTGTCAGTCAGCATTTCTCTGACCGTTCACTGATTGGTCAAATGAAAATTGGTTSCCTTACAAATAAGAAAAAAGATAAACAGGAAGCTGAAGAACTATTTTCATTTCATGAGGGATACATGCCAAGTTGAATGAAAAGTAAMCAATGTCTAATCAAAACAAAATAAAAAAATCATATGAAAAACCTTCCCGCTCTGTTCCACAGGCAGCTTTACCTTCGAATAAACACTCATTCTGCTGTCCGTTTCAAACAGAAAAACATTAAGAATATAAGTAGTTTCACAAACACTGTATTCAGCTTCAACGTTGACTCAATCACGTGATCAAGTCAAGTCATGGCGAAAAAAAAAGGTACTGTATGAAAAGAACACAAAGCTTTAGAGACTCTGTCCATCATCTGTCACTGTGGAGAGAGAGATCGACAGCCATTAGCAGAGAAGGGGAGGGGGAGAGGCAAAATGGAGAATTGCAACAATCCCGGATAGAAAGAAAAATCAGACATTTCTTATGTTATGTGGGCAAACGCCCCAGTGTGTTAAAAGAAATCTTTCCATATACATAAACACTATACAGCACAGTTTGATAAACATGAACACTGCGTACAGAGGCTTCACCATGCTGACGGGAGGAGATGGCAGGAAGAGGAAATGGCCGTTAAAGAACAAGTCACATGACAGGAAGAAGAAATGGCCAATAGAAAACGGTCACATGACAAGAAAAAATAAAGCACTAAAGACAACAGATGTGACAAAGAATTTAGTTTGAAAATTGTTGTTATTTGTTTGGTCAAAGAGAGAAGTTTAGAGAATGCATGCATGGCATTTTGCACATGGAACAAAGCTTTAAAGGGGAATACTTGAGTCTGTCTTTCAAGTGCGTCCTCTGTTGATTCAAGGCTTGTTTTATTTTTTATTTTTTTTTTTTTGGAGGGATTAAAGTCCATATTTAAGMAATAAAAATGCAAAAAATCAAACACCAAAGCTTCTCCTCAAGCTTGCTCAGAAGCTTCATTACCGCAGGCCACGCCGTAGCAGGCGCTGCTCTGATAAATGTATCCTGCAATCATTACTTCCATTACTTCACTTGAATCCAGCACAGAGGAACGACCCAAAGCGATTCCCCTTTAAAGGAGAGAGTGATTAGAGCCCTCCCCCTGCTGACCCCTCCCCTCTCAGACATGGGTCCGACCCTTACCTATTGTGGCGTAGGGGACCGGGTCACAACAACGCTGCCCAGATAGCTGAGATCAATCAAAAACAAATCAGGTAAGACCCTCACCCTCTACAAAGCAGCAGCCCTATAAGCTACTTTTCCTCAAAGGCCGGTGAGAGTGCAGCAGAAAGTCTCGGCCTTTAGCTCGTAGCTTTAGCTTTCCTATGATCGGAGCGTCTACAGCTGTGAGGTGGGTGTGAGGGGCTCAGTTTGATCAGTTAAAAAAAAACTCTGAAATGTAAATGTACACCTGCCTTTCATGTAGGTTTAAAACCATAAAGCTGTTTGTGTTGTGTTTAAAGTTTACATAAGGCTTCCATTGACCTATGTGCATGTAGCTGAGGAATAAAAAGCATCTGTTAAAATGATTTATTGTCATTAAAACAGCTTTCTTKTTGCGTAATCAATTTAAAAGTTACAATAATGCAGTGTGTAAAAGCTAACAACTTGACAAGACTAAAACAATTGTTAAGAAAAAAATATTTTGAGTTACAATTTTTTCCCCTATTTTTTAGGAAATGATGGCACCTCTAGATATGTTTCAATGGGGTGGCACCCAAACTAAAAGCCAGAACAGAATTTTAGGAGGATATTTTATTTTATTTAGTTAATTATTGGCCATTTCTCAGGGTGGCCTACAATCTTCTTAAAACTAGTTCAGATTTTAAATAGAAAAGACTTAAAAATTATATTGTGCTGTTTTATTTCAAACAAAGTCTGCACTTGGACATACAGGTTTATTAAATTTGTTCTAAAGGCCCAAATGTTTTCTACAAAAGCAATCTTGTTCTTTGAAAAAGTAAAAAAAGACAAATCAAATGTTCTGGTGAGAGAAGATAAAAGTCAGACATTAAGACTTTAAAAGTACTAAATCGTAGTAAAACATCTCAGTCAGGTTTGCTCTTTTGTTGCTAATTTATCATATTGCAATTATTTAAAATTTGCCCATACTAATTAAAAATGTTACATTTTTAAAGTGTAGAGAACACAATAACTTTAAAACAATAAACTAGATATTTTAACATTGATGCTTTAAAATGTAAAATGTTTGTTTAAAAATGTATTTGCATATTTKGGAAGTTTATTGTGCAAATTAAAAAAAAATCACTAAAATTAAAATCAAATTGAACACACTAAATTTTCAAATTTAGAGTCCTTTTTATAATGGAACACATCGTGTGCTAAATGCAATTACATGCCTTCTGCATATTACAGTAAATATGCATCCCTATTACTTCTAAATGGAAACACCAAGGTAAACGTGTGGATAAATACTAAAAGAAATGTCAAACGAAAACAGATGAGGAGACAAGTCTCCTCTGTGTCTAATCTCTGCTGGAGTGGATCACCTACCCTGAGGCTGAGATCTGGAGCTGAGAGGGCTCTGAGGGTAGCATCTCCTCCTCTGTCCTTCTCTGGGATGGCCTCTGCCCGAAAACATCTCTGCCCTCTGGAGGAGGAGAGGGGGACTGGGAGGGGTAACTGGCTGCGGTGGAGGCGTAGGACATGTGGTAACCGGGGCTGGGCTGCTTGGCGCCCTGGCTCTGGGTTGGAGAGGTGGTCAGGGAGGACCGCCGAGAGAARCTGACTGTGGCCGAGGGCTGCAGGGCGATCTCGGGCATCTCCAGAGACCGAGAGGTGCGGAGGATGCTGGGGCGTGGAGGGGGCCGCACTAGAATATCTGGGGAACCTGGCTGGGTGCTGAGGGGGCTTTGGGACAGTGGAGAAAGGCGGGAGGGCTGAAGGACTAACGGGGGTAGGCTGGGGTCTGCCCGGCGCCCCGCCCTCGGGCTGAGCCAGGACTGAGGGCTACTACTGGGGGCTGTGCTTGGGCTCCCTGCACGGGCTGCCGGGTCAGGGTAAGGCAACACTGGTACACCCACACCGTGGGCCGTGTGTCTGAGCTGGCCGAGACTCTGGGCCTGTTGCATAGCTAAACGCCTAACCGGAGGCCCTAGGGGCCTGTCTCTGCCTGGTGGAGCCACAGGGACCTCCAGCTGCAGGAGTCCAGGGCTCGTCGGATCCTTTAGGGGAGGAAGGTGCAGGCGACTAGGGGGAATAGAGTGAGGWGGGTAAGGGGGTGGGTCAGGGAGGTCCTGGGGGTGATGTAAYGGATGGTGAGGTGGGTATATGAACCGTGGGCCCTCTAGACCCAGAAAAGGTAACTCGTGAGGCTGCCAGCTTTCAGGTGAGCGAGGAGGAGGGCTGTGAGACAGAGAGTGACCAGAGGCAGTGTACTGATGGTGCTCCATCTCTCCACTCTCCTCGGGGATGGAGGGGTAACCAAAGGGCCCCTCTGCGGTGCCAGGAGGCGAGGACAAAGCGGAGCTACGTGGGCTGATGTCAGGCATGTAGAATGGTGGTGGGATCCCTGATTCAGCACGRCTGCCTAGATATCCGTAAAATGGGCCCTGGGGGAAGCCCCTGTAGCGGGAGGCTGGGGCCTGCCCTGAGGCATGAAGTGCACTGCCCTCTGCAAAGCTCATACCTTCCATGGGCCTGTGAAGGCGGGGGCTGTAGGTGGGGGGCTGCGTTGACTCCAGGCTGGAGGACGTCGGTGAGAGCTGAGGCCTCAGCGTGGGCATGATGGGTGGCAGGGGCCCGGGGTCAAAATCGTTCTCCTCGTCAGACTGCCGGAACTCAGGGTACAGGTCAGACTCCTCGGCAAAGGGGAAGCCCTGGATGCGGCGAGGAGGTGGGCTGGTCTCCATGACAAAGCGGCCATCGGGGCCTCGGCTTATCAGCTCGATAGGCGTGGTGACCTCCGCCTCGTGTTTGGACACACTGTATTTCTTGCTGGCTATGGCACGCTTGGTTTTCTTGTAGAAGGAGAGCTCTTTATCCTTTTCTTTCAGCGGGCTGGGCAGCTTTCTGACGTAGAGGCCGGGACCGTGGGAACCCTCTGATGAAAGAGAGCGGGGTCGAGATGGAGGGGAGCTCTCTGGACTTATCTTCCCTGATGATAACCTAAAAAACAACAACAACAACAACGCAGACACAAGGTGCTGAAACCCAGAGGTAGTGTGGGTTGAGTATTTTTAAGAAAATGTCTTCGWTGCAGTAAACCAGTTGACGTGATTAAAAGAAAATGACACAATACAAAGCCAAAGCACTCAATCAAAGCAGCCAGAGTAGACTACAAAATGAAAATGACCAGTTTATGGTAATAGTAGCAGCACCCTGACAGGGTTTTAGCTAATGAACCAAATGGGATGGGATGGGAGTAGAACCAATAAYGCATCCATGATCTATTGAATCTGCATCTTCTTGAGCAGATGTGAGACCAGTTTTCATWTGCTGCACCAAATGGAGATGTGAGAGAAGCAGATGACATCTATCCAGGCCTCATTTGCCCACACCAGGAGCAGCATACTCAACACTGCACTGACTATTGACTATTTCTTTATATTGCATGCAAAACTCTGCTTCAAATTTTATTTCCAATAACCCTATAGGCTTCACATGACTGCACTTATAGGAGTGACCTATTTATAAAACAACGTATGCATATTTTTATCATAGCGAGCTTTTTGCATGCTTCCATTCCGTATCAGAACAGAGATTTATTTTCTTGGCAGAATATTTAGGGCTTCTCCTTCCCAACTTGTTTCTCTGAGCTCAGATATCGGTATATATGTCATTTCTCAGATTTTCTCTCCTCGTTTAAAAAAAGGCAGTCTTAAAACATAAAACACAGACCATCGTGGCATCTCTGCCAGAGGAGCGTCGCCCATCTCTCTCTTCCTATATTGAGTTAGAARGTTTTGTTCACTGTTTTGAAACAGAAGATTGCAAGAAAGCTAACAGATTTTGTGTTTTATCCACCTAATAAACAGCCTTCTGCAGGTTTGCTGTAACGTAGCTGATTAAGTAGATTGTCAGGTTCTCAATGTTACAAACAGCAGAATGACAAATGACTCTTTGCAATAAACCTGTTTACTTCACAACTATGATTACATTGAGCTGCTGTTTGTTCTACGATTTAGTTTAGTTTGTCCTTATTTGATGATAAGATCAGTTAACCAAAATTTAGTATTTGTACATTTTTTTTTGATAAATCCTATGGTTAGACTTAGGTTTCCTGACTTATTCTTCATTTCTGCTGCTATAGACTCAGACTGCTGGAGCACAAACTGRGCACATTTCCTCACTCTGCTGTTGTCTTTGGTCTCTCTTCTCTACATGTTTATTGTAATTATTTCTATCAATAACATGTTTTTTTTTCTTTTTGTCTCTTTTCCAGAAGTAGGTGCACCTGGACTAGTTCTTTTGTGTCTGGCTGTGTCTCTTTCCTGTCCTCCAACTCAGCCGGTCGAGGCAGATGGCCGCCTGTCCTGAGCCTGGTTCTGCTGGAGGTTTCTTCCTGATTAGCAGGGAGTTTTTCCTCTCCACCGTTTGCTCAGGATGGGAGACTGTGATGAAGTGATTCAAAGCAGCCTGCTGGTTTTTTCTTCTTTAGATTGTTCTTTTTTCATGTACAGTGCCCTGAGACAACGTATGTTGTGACTTGGCGCTATTTAAATAAACTGAATTGAATTGAATTGAAGCGAATTGAATTAGTATTTCTTAGGTCTATGCCTTTTGCAAATCAAGCTGACCGAACTTTTCATGAGTACGGTTATGATTTGGGGATATAAAAAAAAAGTCTTGAGCAGCAGACGTCAGGATGTACTGAACTTCCCAACAAGACAATCATGCACAAAATACCAACACCTCCCCCCTTAAAAGTCTCATTTATTTTCTCCAGAGCGAACTAAGAACCAAACTTATCCTCAACAAAGTGTTTTAAATTTGCTTTTGTCACATTATTTCAAGGCAGAATCAGGCCTGATCTTCTAACCCCCCACCCCCCAAAAAAAGAAAGAAATTGAAGGTGGGAATGAAAAACTTTTGAGGTTGATTATAAATCGTAATAATTGTATGTACACAGTTCCAGACTGTACATGCAATATGGGGAATGCAAGTTTCTCCCTGAATGTGAAAGTTGGTGCATGCAAATATTCCAGGAATAGTTCCCACTACAGCTACAGGTTATCATTGTCAGCTGACAGCTTCTATGCAATGCGATTAAACATGCAGCCAAGCCAGTGCGGCGCAGCACACGCTGTAATTTGGTGCAGGCAGGCACTCACAAGGGGCTGGCCAGTGGGGGCAAGAAACTGCTCCTGGCAGGCTCGTCCCAGCAGGGCTCTACCCCTGGCAAGGGGGTGAGAGGAGGCCTGCGATGGGAGACAAACGACACGGGCCTGGTTCATCTCTAACTATGCTCTTTGGAAGGACAAAGTCTAAACTTCCTCACCTGCCTTTATCATTTCATCAAAGTATAGAAACATGATGTGACACTAATGGTTTTTCATGTATWTAAAGTCATGAACACTTCAATCTGGAATGAGATTTACACAGATCATTAGAGAAATGAGTGTCTTTTGAGATTGGAATGCGGTCATACACACGGTCTATAAATTAACAGAGAAACACACACCGAACTCATACTGTACAACACTGACAATCATGCAGAAAGCAGACAGCGTTTCAAGGTTAAAGAATACAGATGCATCAACAATCAATACACACACAGCAGCTCTGTGCATTAAATGCTGACTTCGCTGCTTCAAACTCGGCTAAATTTGCCCACGATCTGCAAGAGACAGCTTTCTGCGCATGTTCTTCAACACCATGCAGGAGAACCCCATCATTCTTGTGTTTGTTTGTTTTTTTATTCAGTCGACTCTGCTGTTCATTTAAATCAAAGACACCGGTTGCCCTGTGACAGCATTCGTGATTAAAAAAAMACTCTTTTTTTAAAAGGTGTATGAGAAGATGAACAGTAGTAGCTCTGGCAGACTGCAGGGGCTCTGAGARGTCTTTACTTACGGCGACTCGATGCTTTTCCTGAAGTGTGTCACCGACAAGGGAGGATCTGAGAGGACAAACACATTTAAATTGAGGTTTTTCTTTTGCTTATCAGCACATATTGAAACCAGACACTTGGACAGATTATAAAGAAATGGGCTTCAACGTCATAAAAGAAGAAAGATACCCAAACTAAAAAGAGTCCACTACAAACAGCTGCCGACACGTCGGTCTGTTCTCGACCTGTYGACAAATGTTACTCATCAACTGCTGAAGTGTCAGGAAAAGAAAAAAAGGCCAACCTGGTTTACGCTTGAGTTTTCGACGGTGCTGCTTATTAACAAAACAAGCTGCTAGAGTGCTGAACAGTACTGCCGCTGCCAGAAAACAGATAGTTGCCACCACWCCTGCCACCACCGGCCGGGCCAGCCCGTCTTCAGGCAACTCCGCAGCAGGGAAGGGATCTGCCRCGACAACAGGACAAACAAACAAACAAACAACACAAAGCTACAAACATGCAGAAAACTGCTGCTTAAAAGGGTTGTGCTTTTCTTTGTAAACACACCCACCTGTGCTGGACACGCCCACTACATTGCTGCTCTCACTGATCAGATCATCCATGACCGCCATCACTCGAAACTCGTACCAGGACTCCTGCCAACAAATACAGGGATTTATATTGCTTAGTCATCAAAGCACAACAATAACAGGGAGGATTTTATTTGTAGATTTTCTAATGAGAAAAATCTGTTTAAATGTTTTAAACCCAGTCAAATACCAAAAATTATGAGAAAAGTTACAGTTCTTAAAAAAAGTGGAAATCTTCCAAAATTAGAGTGAGTTTTGACGCCTGCAATCAGTCCACCCCTATAATTTCTTCCCGCTTTGCCACAAAAGGCATTAACCCATTAAATGCTAAACAGCCCAGTGATGTTTATTTTATCTGACTGACCTGAACCAGGTCTCTTGCTATGAGCTCGGTTTCGGTGGATGGGATCAGGTCATCCAGAACCTCCCACCTCTCCCCGAGGCGGAACTCCATGATGTATCGGTCGATGGGGGAGGAGTGGTTGGCCGGAGGGAGCCAGGTGAGGAGGACACCGTGTTGCGTGCGATTGGCTGTGAGGCATCGTGGTGGAGTAAGAAGCACCAGTGGTTCTGCGGTACCCAGGGGAGAGCCTGAAATTCACAATCATTTCTAATTATTTAGCAACTACCGCATGATCTGTCATGAAGTTTGGAATTATCTGAAACATTCTACGCAACATAATTAAATCACTAAWTTGCTGCTAAGATATTTAGATAATTATACTGAGAACACGTCTTTTTCAAACYGCTTTTTAAGTTCTAAGTGTTGATTTGTGCATCGCTTCTTCAGAATCTTTGTCTTTCTAGTTTTGTAATGTAATACTTGGTCATGATCTTTCAGAGAAGTCGCCCGTCTCCAATTTTATCTGGAAAGATAAATTGCAAAGTCTAAACATTCAGCATTAAAAGTTAATATAAAATATAACAGCATATTTATCTGAACTTGCAGACAAGCTGCCATACAAGTGGAACTAAKAACATTAATAATGACTCTGGTGTTTGATTGGGTTTATTTAATATACATAACAGGTGTGACCCAAAGGTACCACTTTACAATAAGGCTCCTCTTATAGATAGGTTATTAATTCATCTGTAAACACTTCATAAATTATTAATAAGTGTTTATTATGCATTAATTAAGGTAAAAAACTGTCTGGTTTCTTTCCAAATACTGAGCCAAATCTGTTTGTRTATTAAACATTTCAGACTAGTTTACTACCTTGTAGCACAATAATGATTAGGAAACATGTATTTTCACACATAATATTGTACTGTATTACTGCATTATAAATACTGTATCCACAAATATTAAAGGGATCCTTTTTGTAAGTGTAAAACTGTACACTATTTTGGATGGGGTGGGATTATATGGTATGTTAACATGACTTTTTTTACTTTTTTGATACATCAGCATTGTTGACAGTAGTTACATGCTTGAACAATAATTTCAAATATTGATTATCAACACAAAGTTTTAAAAATGATGATTTTTCATATTAAAGACTAACTTTTGGCATTTATAAATGTTTATTTGTCATTAATAAACAGCGTACTGTATTACAATTTATGATAAGTCTCCCTTTGACAGTTGAGGATATTTATAATGCAGTAATACAGTACAATATTAATATACTAAAATATGTGTTTCTTATCGTTATTGTGCTTACAATGTAGAAACCTAGTCTGAAATGTTCAATAAGCACCTTTAGATGGAATATGTATGTGAGCAGATTTGTCTCGTGATTTGGAAAGAAACTGGACAGTTTTGTCTTTTTCTCGTCCTTAATTATTGCATAATAAACATTTATTAATGATTTATAAAGTGTTTCGAGATGAATTAATAACCTATCTATAAACTCTTTATAATCTATCAGTGACATGGAATGAACTATGTAATCCATCTCTGTGGATCACCTGAGCATCACAACAGGATCAGTGGAAGCAGGTGATGAATTGTTTTTTCAGCTGTTAAATCCTTYTGCTGACTGAGTTCCTTTGAGAAGAGGTGGAAACCGGATGAACTGGAGGAAAAAGTCAAGCTAGCARAGAGGTTGTGACGCTCAGGAAGCGTTTCTGCTAGAAAACCTCATCATCAATCAAAATACCTTGAACAGCTTCTTGAGGTCTGCTGGAAACACCGTATACCTCCTTTAGTGTGTTTATTCAGGCTAGTGTTGGTATTTTACAGGATCCAACACCCTGCAGCRCTGSGGTTATGATTCAGATCCAGGACTCGACTCAGCCTCCAGCTTCTCTGGATTGCAGTCCACCCAAGGATCCGTGGGAGGAAAAAGGAAAACAGGTCCAACCCATAGGAACCACACCTCTGGTTTTACAAGATTTAAAGGCTCTGCTGTTAATGATTTCACATGTAATACTTTCAGAACTTCAGAGTGCATGCTTCAACATGTCAGAACTGTTGTGAATGTGTGTGGAAACCAACACAAAATCAGGCATGAACTTATAGTGTTAGGGCTGACCGGTGCACAGGAAATGATGTCTGTTTAACATCTGAGCTGTTTTGCTACAAGTAGCTCTGCAGTTTATGAGTTACTTTTAATCTGTGTTGAATTGTTCATGTGTTAAGGAATAAATGTTTGTACAAAATCCATGAATATCCAAAAACTGAAAAGTTAAGAAAAACATTCTGAAAACTATTTAAACTGCATTTGCTGGTGTTTGTTAAGCATGTTGCTTTAAAAACAGATTACTTACTGTTTGTCACCAGGATGAGATGACAAAGATGAAACAAAAGTTGTCTATTTTTTACGTTTTTGCAACCCAGAGGGAAAAAGAAAAAGTCCTGAGGTATCTCTCACACTATTCCAACCAAACCGTAAATGTGAGAGCACATTTACGGTTTCACTGTATCAGTGATTTATTTTAAGCATCACAGAGAGCGGTACATTTATCACAGCGCCTGGTGATTTTTTTCTTCTAAAAATACATTAAACGCTTCTGAACGCAGCTCAGCTGTGGAAGCTTTAATTAGCAGCACCCACCTGCAGTGGTGACCGTCACAACTTCACTGAATGGGCCCGTGCCCAGCTTGTTCTGAGCCAACACACTGAACTGGTACTCCGTCCCAGCCTCCAACCCGGGCACCACCAACCAGGTCTGAGCACCAGAAACCGGCATCGAGTGCCAGTCGTGAGGACCGAAGTCTGTTCTCTTAGACCTTAAAAACAAAGAAAGAAACATTTTAATAAATAAAACACAGTGAGGTATACTCAGAAATATCCCCAGTTCACACTGTGAATAAAAGAAAGGTCTTCAGAGCAACTCGGCTGAATGAAATCTATTTATGTTTTCATCAGCGTGGAGCGGTGTCGTCTTTCAATACGAGCGTGGTCGAAACCTTTCAGTGTGTTTCCACATCTGCAAGCTGCCGCCATTGATTAGAAGTCAAACTAAGAGCACTCACACTGGACCGTACCACACAGAGAAAGTCTGCTCGAAGCCGCCATCATAACCTGGTTCCCAGGACACATTAGCAGAGGTTGTAGAGGGCAAGACATGGATGTTGCCAGGAGCGTGTGGGCTGGTGCCTGAGAGGATTACAGTAACAGAAACAGAGCGGGAACTCATAACTTACACCTCAGCTCTAATTGWAATACTTTATGATAACAAGTAGCATTGATAACGGTAAACTGTGTGACTGGATGATGTGACGTTGAGGTCCAGGCCATCCCACCTGGCAGATGTGCAGCATGGCCTGAAACCAGCTGCTTCTCAGTGGGATTAAAATAATAAAAAAAAACCCGAGCTTGGTCTTATCAGRGACCACAGATAGGAGTCCGAGGAGCACAGCTGTCTGCGCCGCGCTGTGACTTTGTGCCAGCTGATGGGTAGTCAGGCTCCAGCTGTGACACGACAACTGGCACTGAGCAGGAAAACCACCACTGCAGTGAGTTCCTGACCTGCTGACATCTCTACGTGACCTGGGAGTAAAGCTTCTGCAAAGAGGGCAGAAGCTGCTACAAAAATAAATAAAGTATTTTGATGATTCTGAGCAGCATTTTGAAAAACTGCTAAAAACTGGTTAGCTTATTAAACTGTTATGAGATGAGTTCTGCCACCAGAAACAAACCTAGCCATCAGTGGTGGGCACCAGCCCGYTAAAGTGCAAATCAGCTAATTGCGGACCTAAATATTTCGTTTGCACTTTAGCGGTCTTACTAATTTTTATAATTCATAAGCAGATTTGCACTTTCTAAAATTAAAATGCTGTACCGCTAATAACTAATTATCTACCAGTTATCATTATCTTGAACATTATCTTGTATGGCTGTCAATGAATCACAACACACATGATATATCTAACAACACCCCTCCCAGATAAACACACTTATTGAGAATGTATACATCCTTGCTGACTGTTGCTTTTGGTCACGGTTCTCATTTCCCACAATGCTTTGTGTCTGCTTACATAGCCGGAAGGCAATGTTTAGTACTTCCCCCATTCCCAGCAAAAACAGTTAACATTTGTAATCCATAATAAAGTTTTGTATGTATTGATTTATTTTACTTTATAATCTGAGCTCCTTTTTAAAAAAAATAAAGTTTAAACGCTGGAGCTCAATACTTGACGTAATTGGTCGAAGCAATCCGCCAACGGGGTTAGACAGACATCTAGTGGTCAACTGGAGCAACTACATGGAAAACTTTCATTTCTCATCACAAATCAAATCCGTCATGTACCCAGAATGCATCGCTTCAGTTTTCCAATAAACAGTTTTAAAATTACTTTATTGATGCTTCTTTAATGAAAAATCTACAAAAAAAAAAAAAAAGAAGCAGCCGAACTAGCAATCCTCAACAACTTTTCAAAGAATCAGCCGAACTAGCAATCCTCAACAACTTTTTAAAGAAGCGCCAAACTAGCAATCCTCAACAACTTTTTAAAGAAGCAGCTGAACTAGCAATCTTTAACAACTTCTATGGTTGTATATATATAACAAGCTATAACAAGTTCTATGAATAAAAGCAATTAATTTAAGGTTGATTAAAACGATTCAACTAAAGTGGATCAAAGGAAACATGACTAATATTTAAAATASAGTCAGTAGAATTGGTGTTTATTGTCACTTTAACATACACATTTACTTGGGAATGAAAGATATGATTTAAGATCTGCAGTTTCCATCCTCAGGCCATGCAGACCTTAAAAACTCTGCATGCTTTTATTAATAATTCAGTCARTTTATGAGTTAAAAGATATCTCTACTTCAGAGAGACTGCCTACAGATTCAGACTTGAAATGACCTGAATAGAGCCATTACAGATAGGATCAAATGAAATTTTAATGACGTTCAAGAGGAAATTGGGAGGAAGAAATGAGTTTGGAAGGTGGGGGTCACAGAAAAGAGGGAACAAAGTGAATCCTAATAACTAGAGAGGWTTGTGAGCGAGGTGAGGGCGTTGTGCAGATCGTACCGATGACGAGGATACGTGTGCTGGCAGTGATGCTTGTGACCACGTTGGTGGCTACACACTCCCACTCTCCGTGGTCCTCCTTGCTGAGGGAGACAAACTGTAAGCTGCCGCTGGGTAGGATGTTGTGCTTGCTTCTGCTTGGCTTCCCCACCTTTAATGAACAAAAAAAAAAAAAAAGCAATTACAGAAACCGGCATGTGTAAGTGCAGAACGTGGCTTTTTAATCTCCTTCACCTTTCTCCAGGTGATGCTCGGTATATCGGGGTCTCCAGAAGCAGCACAGGGGATGACTAGCTCTCTTCCAGCCTCCTGACGGTACTCCCCCCCAGGCCTCACATTAAAGTAAGGGGGATCCTTCACACACACATAAAAAAAACTAGAAACAGGCAGAAACTCAATARCGGACACATCAAACACTGGAGCAGCAGTCTACCTTTAGCACCAAAGTGGCAGGGGGGGACATGCCCATGGTACCCAGGGCGTTGTAAGGCACACAGGTGTAGGTGCCCAGGGAGTCTTCTGTGGCTTCTGCCACCCGGATACTTCCATCTGGCATCAGGCTCCAACCAGGATACTGCGAGACAAASGGGTGGATGAATCTGAAAATATTTGATCTCACAGGGTCTCGTGAACCCATCTCAACATGATCGGACTGCAYGAGAAAAACAAAGATTCTTCAAACCAGCAAAATGAGGTGCGAGGCCTCTTTAACACGCAGCTGCCCTCTACTGTGGCAGCATGAGAGTTGATGTGTGTGGAGATTAATGAAGTGAAGACAGGCAGAACATTTTTTACTCGTTTATTTAAAACTACAGAAGCAGCATCAGCTAAATGGCTGCTGTGACATCATTTGTCTCTACTTTGAACAAAGCAAACTTAAAGCAGACATATTATGCAAAATCCACTTTTTTAGCCCTTAAATCCATTTTGTTGTAAAGCTGAATTYAATCTCTCCGGTGCTACATAAAATAGCTGCATATTTTGTTTTGGTCATATTTTTTAAACCGTACAGTTTTTTTCAGTTTTATTATTTTTTAATGACGTTTTTGGAATGATTACATCCAATTATTTCCAACGGAACTACCAACTAGGGTCTGAAATTACCAACTACAATTTCCTTGTCTTCATTCTCCTCTTGGCTCTGGGTCAGACTCTGGCTTCAACATGTAAAACTGGATGGACAAGTCTTCCCTTGTTAACATCTTTTAATTAATTTGTTAATAAAAAGTTTCTGAACTGCTATTCAGTTGTAAACTCCTCTATCAAACCTCTAGAAAACCCCTCTAGAATGAACC